TAGGGTCGGCCTGATGGGGGCTAGGGTCGGCCTGATGGGGGCTAGGGTCGGCCTGATGGGGGATAGGGTGATGAGACGTGTTCCTGATCGAATGATGCAAAACTTTAAGCCTAAATACGACTTAAACAGGTGAGTTGTACAAAAATTTCCTCCTGTGCAGGTGAACAGGGAAATTAGCTGCAGTGCTGTACCAGGCTCGAAACCTTCTGGTTGTTTGTTTGTTTGCCTGTAAAGTTGTGCGTGTTAACATGGGATGGCCCTGTGATAGACTGGTTACCTGTCCAGGTGAACCTGCCTTCACCCTGAGTCAGCTGGGATAGGCTCCGCCCCCTGTGACCCTGGTGGGGGTTAGGGTGTAGAGATGATGGACGGATGGGTTTTAACATGGGGGTCTTTGAGGATCCGTTTTGGACTCGGCCTCATGTGGACATTCGGGAACTGAAGTTTTTGGCACTTCAGCGTTGGCTTCATTTGTCAGACTCAGAAGTTGCTGCTTGAGTTGTGGATGATTGCTGGGAAGGATGTTTTCCTGACAGAGTGCATCAGATAAGATTCACACGTCAGGATTGAGATGTCATGTCATTAGCGTTAGCTGTTAGCGCTGGAGGGCCGCTGACAACGTTTCAGCAAAGCATGCAGTGTTCGTCACCACACAAAGTTAGTTTATGGTTTGCTTTTCCTCAGCAGTTAGGGTTAGGGTCTGCTACACCCTCCACAAGCAGCTACGTCACCTACACCTGAGCTCTGCTGCATATAAACCTCCACAGGCAGCGCTCTTGTCGACTTGGTGCTGCTGTTGGGGAGCGTGTTGCTCTTTTTCTTTTACTTTCGGTCTTGTTCAACTCTTCTCAGTAGTTGTTAGAAAGCCTTGTAGGGATTCTCTGCTTTTTATTGTGCTTCCTTTTTTTCTCCTGCTTGTGGTTAGTTGGGGAGTTTAGTATCATCCCTCTGCTGCTTTAGGGTTCGTAGGGTTAGTAGGGTTAGTAGGGTTCGTAGGGATATTAGGGTTAGTAGGGTTAGTAGGGTTAGTAGGGTTCGTAGGGTTAGTAGGGTTCGTAGGGTTCGTAGGGTTAGTAGGGTTCGTAGGGTTAGTAGGGTTCGTAGGGATATTAGGGTTAGGCTTCGGGTTCATTGGGGAGTTCAGTATCAACCCTCTGCTGCGTTCTGTGGACCTGCTGAGCTTCCTATTTTCTGGTCAGTGCCCCGTCTTTGCTCATTATGTTGGCCCTGGAGACCATCACAGCTGATTTGCTTCCATTTCTTCAACTTTGCAAGCGTCTTTTGTCATTCGTTTTCCTCTGAACAGACGTTATTCATTCCATACAGACAGTAACAGACACACTGTCTATGAGGCCTCAGTGTCTCAGTTCAGACTAAAACCCAACAGGTTCAGTCATGTTAGCGTAGAGCTCCTGTCTTCTCAACCGCTCCTGCAGTGATGGCTGCTGATAGCTGCTGAAGTCTCTCATTAGCTTCACATCGACTCTGGAATACCAACGATGGTGACCTCATTAGGAGGGGACCTGGTCAGGCGTCCTTAAAATGTTCAGCAGCTCATTTGCAGCAGCGAGTTTGGAATTTGATTGCTTTAATTAACATAATGAGGAAATGTCCTTAATTAGATGCAAAACTGCTCACTGAAGACGCATTTCATTTGCTTTACAATGTTGAAAACAACGTCAGCCTCTAGTGACTGTGGCATTATCATGATGATGTTAGAAAAAGGCCGGAGCGTGGCTGAACAGAGGAAACGTCCACTCTGACCTGGACACAGTGTGTTAGCGTTAGCGTTAGCCTCAGCCAGAGCCTGAACACACAGGGTTGGGGCTACAGCAGTCTCTGCCTCCACCACTGGAGTCTTTACTGGTGAAATGCTGTGTTGGTGGAAAGAGGAGGCAGGTTCGAGGCAGACACAGGGATGAGAAATTTTGGTATAAAAACAGTATTGAAACTTGTGTGTTTGGTTTTGAAGGCAGCAGAGGGTCAATTTCACTCTTTGTTTTTGGTTTCGGCTCCATGGGGCATCCCCGAGCAGCCAGGCCAAGTTCTCCTGGATTATTTAAATGTCACTCACTTTCTCCTACCTGATTTCTACTGAACACACACACACACACACACACACGATCACCTACATATGCAACATGAGAGACAAACAGGGTGGATGTGGGCTGCTGGGTGCTGTCCCCTCCAAACAACAGAACAAACACGTTCTCACTAATGGTTCCTCTGCACATCACCACATAATTTCCCACCAGGTGCTGCAGACCGGTCCGGTTTCCACCACCGAAACAAAGTTCTTATAGGGTGTGTCCTTCAAAATGAGAACCTTGTTTCTGCGTTTGTTCCTGCAGCGCTGACCCGGTAGCTCACTATGACGAGAGCTCACACTTCTGCTTTTGCGGTCCCGTATGTCGAGGTATTACTGGGCTTGAGTCAAAACCATAAAAAGACTCCAAAAAATCATTTTCATTCTTCATACATTTATATCTCAATCACTTTGTAAAAATCCATCAGTAGCTTCTTTTAAATAAGATCAGCAGACAGCCTGAATAAAATCACATTTAAAACCAGGGTGGGTTAGGGTCGGGCTCTCTCTGCGTTACCTCAAACAACAGTTTTTGTGCTGCAGTTTCTGGCTACGATGCGTCCAGAATCCTTTCATATTGGCCAGATCTAGCTGCTTGTAGGATGTGTGTGTAGCAGACACAACAGTCAGTGGTTCTGAAAGGCCGTCTGTGGATCATCAGAATCAGCTTTCCTGC